TTTACATTTTTTCAAGGTTTGGACTATTAAAATGTAACGACGTATTATATATTCAGACAAAGCACAAGTTAAACAGTTTGCAGCACACAAAGTAAAAAAGCCTTCCACCAAGTTCACATTTTAATCCCCAATACCTTGTAACTTCTGTTAGAAAATATCTAGCAATCGTGATTAAGGGTGCAATTACTTCCATATCCAATTGTATATAGTTAACTTCAAGTTATTATTAAATCTTGCATAATTCATAGTCAGTGTGTTATTCTAAATTTAAACTCTTTATGCATGAAAAACAGACCCAGTAAACACAGGTTGGTTCAGAGTTGGTCAATATTTAGTTGAAATCGGTCAAAAAATGGCTAAAACGTTTAGCGACCTATTGACTAAAAATCGACGCTTGATTTGAAATATATATTTCAAACTTTTTTTTTTATACGTTTACTAAACTTCGATCTTATGTTTACAATATCAACTTACATTAGTCAATACTGGAAACCTTTAATCGACCTTAATTAAACGTTAATATTAATTAAAATTTAGTTAATTCTAATTTCCTATTTGAAGGAATTACTCCATTGAAATAATGACTTTACATGTGTGCTGTGGTATTATAATGAACAGTAAGACTTGTTGCAAAGTCTTTTAAAAATATTACTATATTTAAATCTACGCTTTAAATCTTTTAATTTATACGTTTATTAAACATCGATCAAACGTTTATAATATTGACCAATATAAGTCGTTATTCTAAACGTTTGATCGACGTTTAGTAAACGTAAATTATATTAACATAGCCATTGGTCAGATGACTCACATACCAGCTTTAGTAACGCGTTTTAAATAGGCATAGTTAAAACGAAATAAAAACAAAAACAAAAATACAGTTAATTCCCGATATCGAACCTCCAAGGGACGAAGGAAAATGGTTCGACTTTAGCGGAGTCCCGTTAAGTCGAACTTTGACAGAAATGAGATATTAGTTCGAGTTTAAGGCAATTTTTTTTATTCAATGCTAAAGTATAAACATTAAATATACCCTATTATAGTAATAAAAAGTGTGAAAAAAGTTCAGTGAAAGAAGCTACGTAATCCGCTTGTATTAGCTTCTCTGATAATTATTTTTCCAAAATTAAGTTTATTTGGTTTATACATTTATGAATACACTCCCATTGTTACTAAATATCATTTAGCTTCGTAGTACTTCTAAAGCTTGACGTACATCACCCGATTGAGGGCAATTTGGTTCGATCAAAAAATCTACATTACTATCTTTATCTTTTTCAGCCTCAAAATTTTCTTCTCCTAAAACGTCTGATATCTTCATCATTCTTTATCGGCTCGGCAGTGTCGACAAAATTATCCATGGAAACGGCATCTTTTGCTGTTGTTCCTTCAGGGAAGAACTCGGATGAATGAACAGCAAGCTTTTCTAACTGGTCTTTGAGATCCTCAAATGGATCATCCACGTCTACCGAGGCGTCAAAACACATTTTTTCTGAAATTCCAGCATTAGCAAAACAATTGCAAATAGTTTCGGACTTCACCTTCCGCCAAACAACATCAAGCATTTGCATGGCATCCATTATAGTAAATTCCGGAACAGGCTTTTTTTTTTTCTATTGCATCTATTAACTTTTGAACAGATAATGTTCTACAATGGGTTTTAAGTCACCTAATCACGCCCTGATCCATCGGCTGGAGCTTCGAGGTAGTGTTTGGTGTTAAAAAAATTAGTTCTATTGATTCAAGATTATCAATGATTGGATGAGCTGGACAATTATCAACTAAGAAAGCAACTTTTAGTCCTTCTTTCGTAAATTGGCGATCAATTTCACGAACCCATTCCTCGAATAGTGTGCCATCCAACTTTTCTTCTGACTGCGATAACAACAGGGTAAATGCTTTACATTTTTTTAAGCATCTGGGCAATTTAGCTTTGCCAATAACAAACATTGGCAATTTCTTCCCTAATGCATTAGCAAATGCCAATCTTGTAAGACGTAGTTTGCTGTGTTTCCCATCGACACATTTTTCATTTTTAAAATGTAAAGGTTTATTTGGTTGGAGTCGATAAAACCAGCCAAATTTGTCAGCATTATAAATATGGCTCGACTTATATTTTAGAAAAATGGTTGGTAACGTGGTTTCCTCCCATGGTGCTACCATTTCACTTGTACACGCATTAGCTTGACCAGAAACCGTTTTAAATGATATGTTGCATTGTTTCTTTCAACGGTTTAACCAACCATCAACGCTCAACGGTCTAACCAGCCAACTGAAGCATGAAAATTTGTAACGTTCTTTCTTTCACCAAATTGAAAAAGTCATTTGTAAATGTCTTGATCGAAATTTGCAAATGACCCTTTCCTAATACGCTGATGTTTTGGGTTGTTTCCTTTCTTCACAGCATCAAAAATCTTTTCCTTGTTTCTCAACTAGGTAGATAAGGTGTTCTTTGGTATACTATATTTTAAAGCGACCTTTAATTTGAGATGCTATCTAATACTTCTTTCAGTGCGTTGTATTTAACTTTAACAGTTTTTGTATTCAACTTTCGCCTATATTTAATATAGGCGAAAGTTGAATACAATAAATATATAACTATATTTATTCTTTACTTTAAGGTAAATAGATCTTTAAAAACATGAAATAAAGGGTTATTCGTACAGCAAAACGTAAAACATAAAATGTTGTACAAGTTAAGTTCATAAACGTTTAATACATTCATATCTTTAAATAGAGGTTTTGCATTTGAAAAACAATTTAAAAAATATATTATTTGCATTGCATGTTTCTAAAGGCGGTAAAGACGTTGCAACTAACTTTTACCTGTACTTCCCGAGGCAATATTTGCATAGTTTATATAGCTATGAATAAATGAGTAGTATAGTTGTTTTCTGGCCTTATAGAGGATACCAATACTTTTCGCAACTTTTGTTGATATCTAATCAATATGAGCTTTCCATGTCATATTTTCGTCAAGATAAATACCTAGGAATTTTAAAACGGAATCTTTTTTTATTTCTACTTCATCAATATAAAGTTTAGGTAAATCATAAGGCAAAAAACGTTTTTTTGTTGAGGAGTGGAAAAGGATCCACTTTGTTTTGTCAATATTTAAGGTTAATTTATTGCATTTAAACCAATTAGAAACTTGATTAAAATCTTTATTCATATCTAAAAAAAGTATGTTAATGTCTTTGTTTGATAAAAATAAGTTGGTATCGTCGGCAAACATGATGCTCATAAGATTCCAGACCTTATTTAGATTGTTGACGTATGCTAAAAAGAGAATTGGGCCAATGATAGAACCCTGTGGAACACCACATTTTATTTCAATTAATGTTTTATTTTGAAGATCAATAAAAAGCAATTCTTCTCCGTGCTAGACGAATTGCTTTCTATTTGACAAGTAGCTTTTATACCATTTGATCATATTACCAGTTATTCCGTAGAACTCAAGTTTTTTAAGTAAGATATCATGATTGACTGTATCAAAAGGCTTTGATAAATCGAAAAAAACACAAAGTGTATATTGTGATTTAGCAAAAGAATTTGAGACTTTACGTGTAAACTGAATAATGGCTTGTTCAGTTGAGCTATTTTTTTAAAGCTGAGTTGATTTTTATATAGTAAATTTGAAACCAAGTAGTTGTATGGTTTTTCGAAGATGATTTTTTCTAATATTTTTAAAAACGTAGTAAGGATAGAAATAGAGCGATAATTATTTACGTTTAATTTTTCTCCTTCTTTATAAATCGGGATAACTTTGGTAATTTTTAACAGATCAGGGAAAACCCCTTGTTGTATAGATGTTTAATATAATATTTTTCAAACTTTCATAGCAATCTATAATAATGTTTCCGTTTATTCCATCTGTACCAATTGCTTTGTTTTTTTTTTAAAGATTTGAAGGCTCTTTCAAACTCTTCAATCGATAAATCTAGAATTATTTGAAGTTGTCAAAAAATCATTAAAGGAAAAATTTGTAGATGGAATCCTATCAGCCAGCCTACTTACGATATCAGTAAAGTATTTATTAAATTCTTTTGCTATTTCATTTGGTTCATATACACATTCATTGTTTATCTTAATCATTTTCGGAAGGAAATTTGAACAGGTTTTCTGTATCCCCGTTATTTCTTTCAATATTTTCCATAATTGTTTTGAGTCATTTTTATATTTAGTGATTAAATTAGAGTAATATTTTTTTTTTAAGTTTTTACGAATTTTTTCAAATAGAGTTTTGTAGTTTTTATATATGCGTAAATTAGCATGAGATTTTGTTTTTAAGTATTTTATATACAATTTTTGTTTAATTTTTGAAGATTTTTTAAGACCCTTGGTAATCTAAGGGCTACTTAAGGTTTTTTGGTTTTAAAGTTATTTCGGAGACGGGAAAATTTGCATCGTACACCGAGAATAATGTATTAAAGAACTTATTATAGATTACATTTATGCCTTCATTAAAATTTATATGCTTCCAGTCAGTGGCGGAACTACTGGACGCAGGACCCTGCGTTGCGGGGGGGCCTACCAGCTATAGGGGGCCATCATATAAAAAAAGTTATACTCTCAATAATATTTATACTATAAAACTCTTTTCCGCAAAAAAAACATTCTTTTGCGGGGGGGCCCAAATTTTGAAGTTCCGCCACTGCTTCCAGTTAAACAATGATAATTAATATTTAAATATTTCTAAATTTTTTTTGTTGAAAATACGTTTTCTTATAGTTTGTCTTTTATTAATGTTAGGAGTTGAAATTGTGTTAGTTGTTAGAAAAATAGGGAAATGGTCTGATATATCTGATTTTATAATGCCTATTTGTATGTCATTGTCATATACATCTGTTGTTAAAATATTGTCTATAAGGGTGTTGAGTTTTCTGTTATTCGAGTAGGCCGGTTGATAAGCGGTATTGCTCCTGATACAAATATTTCATCATAAATTTTTTTTTATTTTTTTGTTTTCGTTATATCGTAAGCAACCCATATTTAAATCGCCAATTACAAAGTTTTTTTTCTTTTCTTTGTTACCTTTATGAAAAATGTTGTGCTTTAAGTATAAGCTTAAATTTTCTGACGCACCACCAGGTGGTCTATAACAACAACTTAGTAGAATGCTTTTGCTTTTTAACTTTTCGCTTTTATTGTTTAAAATTTCAATTGTAACGATTTTTTTTATCGCCATCAGAAACGCACAAATCATTCCTAACGTTATGCGCAATGTTTTGTTGTACGTAAATCAGAATTCCTCCACCGCGTTTATTTAATTGTCTTTCTAATAAGATTGTTTCAAAATTAGGAAGATGGAAACTAGAGTTATTATAATTGTATAGGTATTAGAAAGAAGGCATTCAAAAACGCATATTAATACAAAAATATATATGTTGAAATAATTATAACAAATTGTGTATTTCTAACGCCAACATAACAGGTAACATCAGTTAAATATTTCAATGCAGAGCCGTAACCACAATTTTCATATTAGGGGGACTTATATAGCATATTAAAGACCTTTTTCTTTTTCTTTTTTTTTTTAGGTACCCATTTTAAGGGCTCAGAGGTAGGAAGAGGCTCAAACATAGCAGGGGAAAAACCCTAAAAAATATGTTTTTCCCTAATAATTATAGTTTAATAATTTTTTTGGGGGGCTTAATCCACCTGGCCCCCCGGTGGTTGCGGCTCTGCAATGTAATATATTTTATTAAATTATTATAAGTAAATATTTATATTGAAACCATGGATACTCATGAACATTATTATTTATTACTTTATTCAAATAAAGTATGCAAACAATTTGCTTCTTATCTTTAAATTAAAGATAAGATTAGATTGTTTAGAGTAATTTAGAGTCTAATGTTGTTTTACCAATCAAAAATATTTAAAAACTGACAAGAGCATGACTACCTACAATCAGTTGTAATAACTTTAATTAAATATATAAAATAAATGGCAGATTTTACAACAACACACCTCTAACTCGATTAAATAAAGAATATTTTCGTTTTATTGCTGAAAAATTATTTTTCATTGGCATTTAAGTCTAATTTAATTATTTTTGAAATAATTAAATTAAAATTTTCAAAATTCACTTTTTACAACAACTGAAAGCAAAACGACAGATAAAATAAATAATAAAGGTACTAGGTAAAATGCGAACCGCGAACTGTGAACTGGTAAAATGCGAACTTTTTTGCGAACCATCGTCCTATTGGTTGTTAATGATGTAATGTATTATTTCCGTAAAATAGCTCATTTAGAGGCATATTTTAAGGACTTTAGGATTTTAAGGATTTTAAGGGCGAAAAAATAATTAAAAAAAAAAATAAAAGGAAATTAAGTGAAACTAGACAAATATAATATAATTTTTTTTTTTTTTAATTATTTAATAAACTGCCTGCCCAAACCAAACCCTCAGTCGATTTAGCAGCACTCCGTTATGAGTTAGGCTATAAGATAGTTGATGTAGCAGCACTTCAATGCAAGTCAGGCTAAGATAGTCGATGTAGCAACACTCCGTTGCGAATCAGGCTATAAGATAAAAATTTTAAAAAATAAAAATTTCAATTAAATAAGTTTTAAAATAGATAATTGAGAATTGGAGAGTTTTTTTATTATTATTTTTATCATAACAATAATGGTCTTTAAAATATAATGTTTTGATTCGCAAAAAAGTTCGCATTTTACCGGTTCGCAGTTTGCGATTCGCAGTTTCATTTTACCGACAACCAATAATAAACGAGTTTCGGGTGCGCCATTTTAATTCATGGTAGTTAAAAGACTCTTTTCGCGAATATCTACCTTCCTAAATGCCAAATGGACTCCAATGTTTTAAAAATTATTGATGAGCACATTGACACAGTTAAAAAATATGAGCAGCTGGTCTCTCGTTACGAAAGTCCTGCTGCAAGAACTTTTTTCATAAGTTTTATATCAGTTTAAATCATTTTGTAAACGCTAGTAAGGTTGTGTAACAGTAAGCATTCATCTTTGCTATAATCAAGAGGTTTAATAAAAAAATATTTATTTTTTTATTTTAAATGTATTTTAGCTTAAGTTAGTTACATTTGTTTGTAAAATTGGTGGAATAGAGCTGATAAAAACCACTGCATATGTTGTGTCGCGACGTTACTAATAAACATGGATGGTCCAGGAAATATAAATAAGTAAAGTTGTTTTATATAATTCCAATATTGATTTATAAATGCACATTTAAAATGTTAACTATTTTACCCTAGTTTTATGCGGTTACAAATCAGGTTACGAAATCAGACGATCAGGATACGAATCTTGAAGATGATGTTGCTTAAGATCAGGCGCGTTATAAACATGCGGTAGACGGTATACTAGGAAGATTTTTGATAATGCATAAACCAGAGAAAACAGTGATCCGAAATATATATTTATGAGTTTATTAATTTTATTTGTAACCCATAATTTAATTTTAATGTAAAGTTTTATTTTCTGCTAATGAGATTAAATTTAAAAAATACTTGATAGAATTTTTTACAATAAAATTTCCACTGCAAAAAGCTTGATCATTTAATTTTTTTTTAATTATCAAAGCATAAACAAGTATAGTGCACGAACATTTTTTCTCTATATCCCCTCTATATGAAAACGTTTTGTATAAGTTTATAATTTAAATATAGTTTTATAAAATAAAAGTATAGTATAAGCAGTAGGGTATAAAAGTTTATAAACATATTATAATAATAATAAAAAATATAAAAAATAAGACCAGGTCTTTTATAACTATATCTTATTTATAAATTTCATTACTTTTATTTTATTTATTTATTTATAAATTTCAAGAATTTTTCATAAATTTCATAAATTTCAATTTTTTAAAAATTTCATTACTATTATTTTATTTATTTTATTTATAAATTTCAGGACCTATATAGCTCTTATTACCTATATAAAGTTAAAAAGTTATGTAACTTTAATTTATATAAGTTTTAAAACTTAAATAAATTGAAATTATGTTAACTAAATCAGAGAAACTATTAGACAAGATCTAAAAGTTTAATATACGTTTACTAAACGCTTTATATACGTTAATTAGAGTAGATTTAAACGTAAATTAGACAAAATCTAAACGCTTTATATACGTATAATAATCCTATAATAGATGTCTAAAATACGTTTAAATATAGACGTTTTATGGACGTTTGTTTTAAATGTTAATTTGGATTTCATTCTAAACTGGATTTTATTCTAAATTGACCAAATCTAAACGTTTTGTCGAAACATTGTTTTGACGTTTAATAGATGTTTGTGTGTTTACTGGTGAGTATACGGCAAATATTATCCTAATATATTTAACGCACTGAACATGCGTCGTTAAAATAGTAGATCAGTACATCGTTAAAATAGTAAATCAGTACTAAAAGTAACAACGTAGATAACAGTTAGTATACCGTAAAATTGATGTTCATCAAAAAGTAAGCTTGTATTAATGAAGAAGCTTCCATGACTACAATGGGTGTTAATTGTTTGTACGAATGCATTTGCAAGGGGAATGACTGTGCAAATGTTTTATTTAATGTGTCAGGAGATTTGTAGGAGTACGTGATTATTCTGTATAATCACACTATTATTTATCTAAAAGTTTATCTCCCTAAGAATCAAATATTTTCAAAAAAGGAGAAGAATAAGAAGCTTTAGATTGTACTGCTTAATGTGATACGCATGGTTTAATGTGATACAAGTGCATGGTTTAATGTGATACAAGTGCATGGTTTAATGTGATACAAGTGCATGGTTTAATGTGATACAAGTGCATGGTTTAATGTGATACAAGTGCATGGTTTAATGTGATACAAGTGCATGGTTTAATGTGATACAAGTGCATGGTTTAATGTGATACAAGTGCATGATTTAATGTGATACAAGTGCATGGTTTAATGTGATACAAGCGCATGGTTTAAGATAAATTTTGAAAATAGAGAATCACATAGTTATTTTTATGTAGAAATTCCAATAGACATTTTTTTATTGGCATTAAACATTGTAAAAGGTTAAACGAAGAGTTGGAAATAAAGTAGTTTTGCAAATGTGTGAAAACCAAAAGAAAAATTATTTTATCTAACGTTGTTACTTTTGCTAGCAAAAGATGCTATATTATATGAGGATGAGCAAAAAAATAATAGTTTTGTAGTTTGTACCGAGATGTTTGCACTTCACTATGACGATGCTGAATGAATACCGATGCCGTAGCAGCGCATTGAACAAAACAAACTAGACAGTTGTTTTTCAAAAATTTAATTTTTTGTGAATTAGATTACTCTTTGCATCTGTGAAATACTTATAAAGCTTCCATGATTGAGAATTTCATTCACCTTTTAATACAATTTATATTTACTGAGCAAGTTGCTTATATTTACTGAGCAAGCTGCTTATATTTTTTGAGCAAGCTGCTTATATTTACTGAGCAAGCTGCTTATATTTACTGAGCAAGCTGCTTATATTTACTGAGCAAGCTTCTTATATTTACTGAGCAAGTTGCTTATATTTACTGAGCAAGCTGCTTATATTTACTGAGCAAGCTGCTTATATTTACTGAGCAAGCTGCTTATATTTACTGAGCAAGCTGCTTATATTTACTGAGCAAGCTGCTTATATTTACTGAGCAAGCTTCTTATATTTACTGAGCAAGTTGCTTATATTTACTGAGCAAGCTGCTTATATTTACTGAGCAAGCTGCTTATATTTACTGAGCAAGCTGCTTATATTTACTGAGCAAGCTGCTTATATTTACTGAGCAAGCTTCTTATATTTACTGAGCAAGCTGCTTATATTTACTGAGCAAGCTTCTTATATTTACTGAGCAAGCTGCTTATATTTACTGAGCAAGCTGCTTACTGAGCAAGCTGCTTACTGAGCAAGCTGCTTATATGAAAATTAAATTGATAATTAATCAGTATGATAAAACCTGATTTATTATCTGTCTGCCATATCAATTATCTGTCTGCCATATCAATTATCTGTCTGCCATATCAATTATCTGTCTGCCATATCAATTATCTGTCTGCCATATCAATTATAGACTTTATAGTTGAAAATTTTGAGGAAAACATTCAACACTTAGTTGATGAAGCTAATCGAGTATGGCTGTTGCTTAATGATAAACAACTAAGTATTGGTAATGCTCTTTGCTTAATTAAGGTAATTGTTTAGTGTGTTGCGAGCACGCATATTTTGCATTTGTAATAACAAAAATATAATAAAAAAATGAACGTTCTGAGCTATAAAAAAAAGTAACGTCAGCATGGTTTATTCAAACCTCTTTCAGCAATACTAGATAGTAACACTAGCTATGTTTTTATTCAACTTAAGACCAATAACTATTTTGTAATTATTTATAATCCAATATCCTATTTCTAAGACAAGTTAATCTATTTTTACTTATTATTACAAAACGTTTGGAACAACACATTTCTATTTGGTGAAAAAGTCTTTTTGGCGGGCATTAATATGCTATCCATAACAGCATTGAGCAGAAAACCTCTCTCTTATAGAAAAACTCTACATAAAAATCTAAATGAAAACTCTACATGAAAACTCTACATAAAAAGAAAGTAAGCAATGGCATAGCCAAGAGTGTATTAAAGCTTTGGTTAACAATTTTTTTAGTTTTAAATTGTAAACAATTCAGTTACTCCTCTCCATTCTTTAAAACCAAAAATTGGTGCTGTAATTAAAAAGTTTACACCTCAATTGCAGAAGCCGTGGTATTGTAGTTTGAGTTCTGGTTTCAGAACAAAAGTTTTGTGGTTTGAAGACGGCCATATAAGCATTATTGGTTAGGAAAGAGGCGTGAACTTACTAGTTAAAAGCTGTTCTACGGTTCTCGGTGATAAGACCGTTAGGACCTAAATGACTAACAAAAAAAAAAATGCAAAGTTCAGCATTTTGGGACCTAAACTTTTGTACGAGCTCTTCATAACAAATACATTGCTAAAAACAAAGCTTTGACTGGTATTTAAGTTATAAAAAGGTATTTATTTACCAATCTCAATTGGCTCCATTAGACTTCAGTTTATCTTTTATTCTAAATCGTTGTGAATCTCTGTCTAATTAGCAAAATTAATTACAATTTATAAAACTTGGCCAAATATAATTCATGTGTAACAATTAAAAAAGATCTCATTAAATACATAACTTTATAATATGAAATACTTGTAGTATGGCCTTGTGTACAAAACTTTATATTTAATGTACGGGTGAGTTGCTGAAAGTGAGACACTGCCCTAATTGGAACACTTTTTTTATTTTGGAAACAAAAAGTCTCATAGTTTGTCGCTTAAAAAATGCATGTGTACATCAGTTTAAAGCTTTTTTGTGTCATTTTTTAGGTAATCGATATTCGTGTTCACACTATACTACTTGCACCGTATAACCTAAACAGCAAGCATTGTTTTAGTGGAAATTCAGTAGACTTATATAAGCATTTTTGAGCGGTTTATTGGAGTTTGCTCATCAGTTACTTAGCGGATCATTAGTGGCAGCCGCAATAAATGGGCAGCCAATTATTTTCTGACATGTTAATAGTGGCTAGTCATAGACTAGCCACTTTAGGCGGCTGCCACTAATAATACAACAAAGTAACCGGCTGCAACTAAGTAACTGATGAGTAAAACTACTGTTGACCGCCCAAAGCCTCTATAGGTCCAATGAAATTCCGATATAGAATGTTTGATATATACGTGTGCGTGTGTGTGTGTGTGTGTGTGTGTGTGTGTGTGTGTGTGTGTGTGTGTGTGTGTGTGTGTGTATTTATATGAGTCAGTTATATAACTCTTAGTTATTATATAAATAAATTATTTCAAATTACTTATAGTTTATAAAAATAAAATTCGAGTTACGATACTTAATTATACCATCGGTACGAAAACAATACCAATGTAACCGATATCTTTAATACCAGAACCGTGTGATACCAATATCAATACTGTAAGGTATCGTATCGATACCAGACGAAAACCAAGACTTGATACCGATTATCTAGTGTCTAATTTTAATCCTATTGCTAGTTTTTTGCATGAATTGTTAAAATTGTCTCGGTAAATATAGTAACAATTTTTAATTGATTTTTGTTAATTTTACTGTTTTTTTGAAAAAGAAGCAAACTGTTTCGATTAAGGAATAAAAGTGTTCAAATTTAAGAAACCGGTTGCCTTGATTAATGCAAAATGATGCTTTGACAAAATTGAATTTATTTCCAATAACAGCGTTATCTGTTAACGGTTAAAATTATAGTATTGTTATCTATTTGTATTAATCAAATCATAAATATTTTTATAATTAAGCCATCTTCGGTTAAAAAAATATTTGTTCCTTTTTGTACAAAGCGTTACAATTGATGTAAAGTGGTTTTTTTGCGAGCCCTCAGCATTTACTACGCGAAACAAAAAATTTCGCAAAATAAAAAATTTACTAAAGTGCTATTTTTAATGACTAATTTTA